TACCCCCTAAACCCTGCACAGCCACTCGAGTCTGGAAAGCTCAGCGCAAGGGGAACCACAGGCTGGCAAAGCAGCGGGTGGTGGTTTAGCAGTGGTTTTATTTTGGAGGCCGGAACCACAGAGCATCGCAGGCCAGTGGGAGAGAGAAAGCGAGCCGTCGGAGGCCCCTGGAGGACGTGAGGATGCTCGTGCACCTGCTGCCAAGCCACCTGGTCCTCACTGCCCGCAGCTCCGAGGAAAGCCCACCAGGGAGGGCTTCCAGCCAGCGGGCCTGGACGGCGAGGCTCCGCTATTAATAAGAGGGGCTATTTATACCGGCCTCTTTCAAAACTGCACTCGGATCACGTTACTGCTGCCTGGCCCGGGAATGTTTCATGTGGGTGCTGTCGTGTGCTTTCCAGGGCTGTTGACCTAAAATGTTCCTGAAGGCGGCGAGGAAGGCTGAGTGTGCCCTGCCTCTGGGTATTTATGGCTCACCCTCTGGTGTCCCACGCTTCTGCTGTCCCCCCCCTCCGTGTGTGCGGTGTGTTTAAGGGCGGGGTGAAATCCCGAGGGGGTGTCATGTGAGGCACTGATTTTTGGCTATGAATTACCCCCACCTGTTAAGCATTTACTATATATCTGGCTCTCTCCTAGGCTGTTAGATTTAATTATTTCAGCCAGATCCTGCCAAAACCCTATGAAGTTGGTGCTCGTACTTTGCACATACTGGGGAGAAGGAAGCTAAGGCACAGTGAGGTTAAGTGACATGCCGAAGGCCATTCGATTGGTAGGGGTAGGCTCGGGGTTGAATGGACCCGGGTCTGTCTGATGTAAAAATCTGAGCTGTATAATCCCCTCCAAATAACCCCTGCTCTGCTGTGCCATAACTGGGCCTCAGTTTCTTCTTTTAAGGTGAGGTGATGATTTAGTGCCTTCCTTAAAGGGTTGACATGTCATTCAGTGAGACGTGGCACATAAAGCCCTCAGCACAGAGCACATAGAAAAGCGTTTGCCCTTGTTGTTTATAAGTGCTGACTTCAAGTAACTATATCCTATATCATGCTATTAAAATAACTGTATCCGGCCAGCTGGTATACACACTATATCATAAGTCTTGCCAAAGTCGTTATGTAGTCTGCCTTATTCTCAAGTAGCTGAAAACACTAATAGCAGTTATTGATTAAGTGGCCCTGACTCCAAAATAGCGCGCTCCTACCTGCTACTGATGACTTTCTCCTGCCTGAGAAACAAAACAAACTGACGTTCCAACCCCCGGCCCAACTTTGACTGTTATTAATGGCAGCTCCCTTTGTGTTTGGAAACAACCAAACTGCCTACGAATTGGCGGATCGGCTAAATAAATTATGGTTCATTCGTACTGTTCATCCCAGCTGAGGAGCGGTCTACCGCTGGTTAAAAGAATTAGGGAGATTTCCAAGATCTGTTACTAAGGGGAAAACTGGTACCGAACAATCTGTATAACACACAAGCATCTGCGTGAACGAAAAACACGTGTCCATCCCTAGTAGCCGGCAGCTGGAGGAGGCCAACCAGAGGCCTGGAGGGCAAGGAAGCTGAATATTTCAATATGTATTCCTGGTGTTCTTTTTTGAAACAGTTTGAAGTTTTACTGTGTGCTTATCTCAGCTATCAGTATATAAATAAATATGGCCAAAAATTTTTTTAAAACCAGAAAGCACTATAACTCAGAATGATCTGTGGGTTTGTTTTTCATTGTTTCTTGATGCCTAATTCGATTGAGGCAGTCATAGTAATGAAAGTCCTCAGAAACATCCTTTTTTAACATTTTGCATCTCGCACAATGTAAAAACTTCCTGTAAACCAAGTCGAGGACGTAAATGGGAGTTTCAGAGAGAGCTGAGGGGGCCCAGGAGGGTGGGAAAGGCCCACCACCTCCATGTCTGTCCAGGGAGGGCCCCCCGCCCCCACCCCCATATATTTTTCACACCTTTTCCAGCTGCAGGGTTGGGCCACAATTCGCGGTCTGATGCTCCTGGAGCGCTTCTCGGTCCTGAATCATGAGGAAAAGGTTCAGTTATAGAAGCCAGATATTTTAGAAGGATTTTTAGGGCCTTGGATGGAAGCAAATTTGCGGGGGGAGCCCGAAGTGGGGGAAGATTGCACAGCCCGAGATATTCAGAAGATTTCATCAAACACAATCCTAAATTCAGACGATGTCTTTTACGTGTGGAGACTGTGCTGAACTTCCCGAGGGCCCTTCCCTGCCCAGCTCTGGCTGTGCTATTTTTGACCGGTCTCTATTTCAGTCTGGCAAGTTAGTCGTGTCTCAGCGCGAGTTGGTCCTCTGTTGCCTTCTGAGGGTAGTGTTCTGGTTTCAACAAGGGGCAGAGCGAACGAAGAGAGACCCAGCAGTGGTGGAGCTGACTTAGATTTACTAGCGGTTCTTTTTAAGTAGAAGTGATGCAGAAGTCAGCTAGCCCTGTAGGTCTCCTCCTTTGAGCTCCATCTGACCTCTTCACAAATCCAGCAGCCCTGCTGAGATCAGAGCCTGCGATTTCTGCCTCATCCTGTTGACGCCGGGCTGCTGATCCAGACCTAAAATGTCCTGTTTACCTTCAGCACTGGTCCACGGCACCTGCACACTCTGCTTCCAGCATTTTGCTCAAGATATGAGATATGATGATGATGCCCCTTTTCCTTGTTCATTTATTATTCTGTGAAATCGGGTGGAGCGGTTTGTCATATGTGCAGCAGGGGTGGCCTGAGACCGAGCTCATTCAGCCAGAGTTCCCCTGCAGTGAAGTCCATACTGTTCATTTCGGATTTAAAATCAAGTCCAATCCTAAGCAACTGCAGTGCAGTTACCATGTTACCCAAGGAATTATGAGCTTTCTGCCTGCTGGCCTTTTCGCTTGTGGCTCTCCTTTGATTCGAAATTTAGAGAACTTAACCTGTAAGGTAGGGAACAGTACTAGTACCTGGTTCCAACCTCAGAGGTGTAGCGATGCAGTGACATAATACTGTAGAGCTGCTACTGTCGCTATGAATAAGCAGAGGTAATGGTTAAGAACCTAAACTTTGGGGCTAGACACACAGGGCCACTGCCTTTTACTGCTGGTGACCTTGGGCAAATTACTTAACATCTTAGTGATTCAGTTTCCCCATTGGTACAATGACATTGTTCTTGGGGCCTGCCTTGTAGGGCTCTAAAGACGGGTCAGTGTATTGAAAGGCTCTTAGAGTCGTGCCTGGCACATAATAAGCCCTCAGTAAGTTAGCTGCCGCTATTATTATTATGACCCCCCCCCCCAACATCTGTGTTGGAGAGGAAATCTGTAAGAAATGAAGAGTTCTTAAGCAAGCTGTCTTCTTGGCAACAGGCCCCTGACCTTAGTTTCCCTTGCTCTGATAAGATCTGAGGCTCTCTTCTAGTAATGTGTGCATTTACGGTACTGTGAAGATTTATTAGTAGAGATTCATACTGATGGAGAGTTTTCAGCATCCCTGTACCGAGATAGGAAACGGATCGCAGCAGGGGTGGAGAGACAAAAGGTGAAGGAGAAGCAATCTGATTTAGGGGGCAGTCAGATAAGAGACTGTTAAAGTAATTAATTGTCTCCTTCAACACACAAACAAGGGCCCTTTAAGTGGAGAAAGGATTTGCCGCATGATACGGATCTGCTTTCTCTCTGCCAGATGCTCCAGTCATGAAGCTATTGAAACAGACATTCTGTGTCCCTCAGCCCAGTAATTGCCAAGCTTCACCTCTAACTAGCTTTGGCACTGAAGAAGGCAAATGGGATAATTCAAGGCCTTTTCCCTTTTTTTAACCCTATTCATTTCTATAAAAGATGGCAGACAACCAGATTATTCTATTCAAGCAAACACTAGCTGTAAACTTGTATGAATACAGCTGTCATTTCAGTGGCCTTGTCTTCAAACCATAACAAGATGCTCTATGTAAGACATACTCTCTGCAAAAATGAGAGTAAGATAACGTAGCTTTATCCTTGATTCTGCATCCCAGATACAGTTTCTTTCCAGCCCGTCACCCGGCAAAAAGCCTGAGCACTGCTTTGGCTTTCTTAAGGATTTTTGCACTCACTTTGCAAGCCTGATTTTGGACTCTCTTCTCAGATTTGGAAATACATGTCCATGTAAGGAGGCCAGATTCCGGAGCCTGTGGGGGCGGACCAGGCGAGCTGTGTTCTGGTTCTCGGGCTTCCCCTTCCACTAAGAGTCATGAACTATGGAAGTACAGATTTAGAATATTCGAGCGGGAAGGGAGCTTGGGAAGCATCTGTGGTCTGAGGAGGATTTTCCAGTTGTCTGCGTGCAAAAGTGTGTGTGTATATATCCATTATATGGATATATTCCTGGGAAATGTGTCTGGAGACTTCATCAGAGTTCAGAGAAGCTGGAATCTCAAATAGATGAGAATCTCCAAGTACAGCTCCTTTGCTGTTGTACAGATGAGGCATTGGAGTAACTGGCCCGCGTGTCCCAGCGCCAGGAACCCAACGGGAGTGCGCGAGTCTTTGGCGCTGGGTCCAAGCGTGTTGCCCTTTGGTGAGGGCAGAGCCATGTCAGGGATGTGTACAGAACAACCAGGAGGGGGCGGTCTTTCCTCCCCAGATCCTTTTCTGACTGTTTCAGCCCACAAGGAGCTCTCTCACTGGTGGTCTTGAGGGCACTGTTGTTCTGCATCATGCACCTTGGCCTGCTTTCTCAGTTCCCTGTCTGTTAGTCCTGATTTCTGAGCTAGATTGGAAGCTCCTAGAGGACGGGAGACATCTCCTGAGTGTTTATTCACAAACTCTGGGTGTGGTAAATAATTGGTTTTTATGACCTGGCATAAATTCTCTCCGGTTAACAACTTGCTTTCAAATTCTTTATCTTGTATTCAGCATTACAACATAGCAGTCTTCCCATGGCCAACTCAGCACTGTTGTTTTGTTTTTTTTTTATTTCCCTTTTATGTCTGTGATTTCTTACTATTAATTTAAATGATTCATTTCTTCTTGTTGTCATTGCAGGTACCTCAATAACAATGAGTTGACAGCCGTACCGTCGCTGGGTGCTGCCTCATCTCGTATCCTCTCTCTCTTTCTGTAAGTGGTACCATTTGGGGGACCCTGGACTGTGTGGGGAGGCCATGGTATCATCTTGCTGACATTTGGTGGCAGGGCAACTCGTGTTTCTGGGCTCACTGGTAAAAAAAAAAAAAAGATGGGCCTTTCTCCACGTAGCTCTAATGATTATAACAAAAGCCTTGCTTGCTGTTTTGGGGTGTGTAGAATTAAAACCCAGAAGTTTTGCCTCATCTCTAATTTGGGGGGAAATTATCTTTTTTAATGCCATGGGGTACATAGAATTAAATTTCTTTGTCCTAGTGGTTAAGCTGCAATTTGAGTGAATAAACCCAACTTAAAAGAAGCTGTGTGCATGATAAGACAGTAGGCTCATCTCTGTGGTAATGAATTTGGGAATGTGACTCCACTCACTTTCATGGCTTAAAAAAAAACACCGGCCTTCTGAAATCAATATAAAAAGTAAGGAATTCGTTGTCATGGTCAAGTGTTTGACAACATACAGCCTGTCGATTATTATAGACAACACACTGGAAATGAAAAAGGGTATAAAGAAACTTAAATGAGAAAGAAAGGGAGGTAACTGAGAGTTACCCCACTTCTTCAGCAGTCAGGTGGAGGCGCTTGCTTGTTTAAAACTCGCCCAGAGGTCTTTCCAGATAAACCAGTCATGAGTCCAACAATTTTCTATACCAGATTTTTTAGTGTCAGCTCCCCCAGCAGAGCGCCTTCCTCTTCACACCGAATTTCCTGTTCCCACTCCAGCCCCACTGGGTTTTATTTGATTTTGATTTTGCTGGTGTTATAACTGGTCTACTCACCTGTGGGTATCTTTCCTCGACCCTGAGCCAAGCAGAGGGACCTGGTGGGAAGGAGTCATCCGTCTGATGGCTGGTGCAGCTTTCAGATCTCTGGGTTTTGCTGGCCACAGGCCCTGCGTTCTGGAGATGCCCTGTCCTTGTGAAACATGGTCTCGGGCTCAACCCTTTTCAAGGCACTGTGGGTGTGGGGAGCAGGGGCTTAGAATCGTGGCCCAGCCTTGTGTCCCGGACAGACAGATTCACCTCTCTGAACCTCACTTTCCTCATCTGCAGAATGTGTTCTTGGCCCGCTGTACACATAGGGGCAGTGAGCCCGAGGTTCAAGGCGAGTGTGATGTATATGAAGCTCCTACCGTCCTGCACAGCCAGAGTAGGTGTTTGACAGATGGCGGCTGGCTGCTGGCTGGTAGCTAGTTGTCACCTGGCCCCGTGGGCCTTGGCATGATCTCACCTTTAAGGCCACAGGGTCTGAGTCACTTCTTGTACCTGTGAAATGCTGGCGCGAAGGACGTAGCTCTTTGTCCCAAGATGGACAGTCAAGGATCTGACTCTCTTTTTATACCCATTTGGCCTGCGGGGTCTGGCATCTGGAAGGTGTCTCACTGCTAGTTAAATTAAATGAGTCACCCTTACCTGAGGCCAGTGAGGGACATGTCAATCCCTGGTATGTGTATAGAGCAATGTACTGGAAGACGCTTTTAACTCCTTGCTATTTAAAGGACGGTTCTTGGACCAGCAGAGTCCTATCGGCACTGAGCTCGTTAGAAATGCAGGATCTCAAGTGTCATCCCAGCCCTGCTGAGTCAGAAGCTGCCTTCACAAGGTCCGCTGGCCATCTGCCTACTTGTTCAAGTTTGAGAAGCACTGCTTTCCCTCCCCTTGGCTGGGAAGCCAGGGCCAGAGAGAACATCTTTGTGTTACCAGACGGGAAACCAAGGCTGCCTGAGTTCCTGTAAGGTGCAAAATCGAGAGGTGAACCAAAACGGGGCCCAAATGCTCGTTCACTGTTCCTTTCTCTTCCCTCCTGCACAGCAGGCAGGAGTGTGGCAGGTGACCCGTCCTTGCCCCGAGGGCCCGTGGTGCTCTGAATCAGGCCTTGCTCTGCCCACTAAAAATACATTTCTGTTCCTTGGCCGAAGTCTCAGGAGCAGTGGGGCTGGTTGGCCTTGTTCCTACTATTCCATTAGACAGCATTAAAATATGTAAAGTAGGAAAGGAAAAAAAAAAACAAAGACTCCTTCCTGGTTTTGATTCAGTTTGGAAAATGCAGGTTCGTATTGGCAGATACTACGTTTGGCCTGAAGCTGGTCTCCATCTGGCTTGGTCAGTGATTTCTCTGAAAGTACGGACACTGAAGGGTCTTTATCTTCCTTCTCTCTGAGGGGCCTGTGTTCTCCAATCTTAGACCCCTGGATCTAGTGCCTGCAGAGTTTGGCTAGCAGGGTGACATCGGGGTAGCAGGATTATAGATAATTTTGCTCTCATCCTTCATGCCTTCCTGTAGTTCACGAGTGGGTCGTGCAAAGGACAGGGGAGAAAATAGCAGAGCGGGCAACAAATGAACATGATTTTCTCACATCTCCATCCACATGATGATTCCAACCGTCCAGGCTTTGAAGAGCATGTTTTGCTGGTGTGTTTGTGGCTTTTCAGAACCATAGTGGTAAAAGGTGTCACATGTTCAACAAACATTTAGTAGGTACCTTCTGTGCTCGTGCAGTTGGGGCCCAGAGTGACCTCGGAAAGATTCAATGGCATCGTGTGTGGGAAGTTCCTGACGTGACGTCTGCAAATGTGGTTGGTCAGTTAGCTTCATCAGTGTTGACGCTGGTAGCGCTTAGTCTCCAGATTCTCCCCTTGGTGGGCAGGAGGAGGATGAGCAAAATAATCAGAATGTGCAAAGGGACCAGATGGCTGAGGCTGTCTGAATGAGAGGAGCTGGGGCAGCTTTCTGGGGACAAGGTTGTGGGCAGGTGGGTCAGGGAACAGGGGGGACCAGGCGTATATCCAGCTCTGTCTCTGATGGTGTTGTGACGTGGGACAGGGTGCTTTTTCCTCATCTGGTGAGCGAAGGGGTTGAAACACGTGGTAAAAGTACACTTGCAGCTTGTATATTCCTTCTGTGACTCAGAAACTGAGAGTTGGAGCAGTAATGTCACAAAAGAAATACCCCTGTCCTGTAACCACTGTTGCTGCCTTATGTCTTTCAGAAGTAGCAGCTTTGTGGTTTTCAGCTCAGACACCTGTAATTAGGGACTTTTGCCTCTGGATTTTGTTTACCTGTAGAAGTCGGCTCTTCATCTCTGTTTGGTTTCCTGTCTCCCGTGTCCTTGTCAGTAACCCTGGTTCCTCACTCACAAGACAGTGTTCTGATCCCCCAGACACCAGTGCCCTTCTTTGCTGAGGTCACACTTGGGAGGGCTGTGTGGGAAAAGGGTTTGTTTCAAGTCCGGCTTCACTATCAGGGCCTCAAAACAGAGTTTTCTAGAGTTTTGGGAACTGGAGTCCTTCAGGAAAATTTCAATTGGTTAATACTTTCTGATTAAAGGAATCAAATTCAATTAAAGTATTTGTCAAAGAGCGGATTTTTATTTGCATCGCAGATAATGCCAAAGCCATTTGTCCTTAATAACCAAAAAGCATTAAACTCGAGGAAAGCTTTTAATAGGATTGGGTTGGAGCGAGGGAGCTAAATTTGATAAAATAGTTCTCTGAAAAAGAAACAGACTTTTGTTCAACAGGGACAGAATCTGCTGGTAGATTTTCACGTTTGAGATTTTTTTTTTTTCTAATTCCAAGTCCAGGAAACTCAAGTTACGATTCCCACAGCAACAGTAATTTCGTGTGATGCATAAGATGCATAAGTGACGTTTCTGGGGAAGAAAAATTTCCAGTATTCCTGTGGTGTTACTGCACTTGTATCACTGAGGAGATTGGTTCCAGTGGAAATGGTTGCGTTTTTTTTTCACTCCTAGGAGCGAAAAGCTTGCTGTAAAATCGACTTTAGTTTTAAAGCACAGCAGCTTTGTCTCAGGTGTATTAGCTATAGCATGTTTCCCATATGGCCCTTGGCTTTGTCCACATAACTTCTTTTCCAGTTGGTGGTGTGTTTTGGACCCTATCCCCTATCCATGCCTTGCCGCTCCCTCTCCCCCAAGCTGTGGCCTTGATCAGGTAGGAGATCTAGGCTAAGATTCCGTGCACACAGTTACCTGTGACTTTGTCATTGTGCTGTTAAAATCCTTAGGTTCTATGCTGCATTTGAAAACACATCAAAATACCTTTTACTTTGAATCTTCGGGGGGCAAAAAAAACTTTTCTGAAAACTATATATATATATATATATATTTTTTTTTTTTTTTTTTTTTTTTTGAAAATAGGATTTACTCTTTTTTTTTTCCTTTCTTTATTTACTTATTTATTTATTTAGGGCTGTGTTTGGTCTTCGTTTCTGTGCGAGGGCTTTCTCTAGTTGTGGCAAGCGGGGACCACTCTTCATTGTGGTGTGCGGGCCTCTCACTATCGCGGCCTCTCTTGTTGCGGAGCACAGGCTCCAGACATGCAGGCTCAGTAGTTGTGGCGCATGGGCCTAGTTGCTCTGCGGCACGTGGGGTCTTCCCAGACCAGGGCTCAAACCCGTGTCCCCTGCATTAGCAGGCAGATTCTCAACCACTGCGCCACCAGGGAAGCCCCTATATTTTTTTTATTGAGAGAAAACTAACATAACATAAAACACTGTTTTATCGGATTTAAAGTGTATGGTCAGAAACCTTTAGTAGTACCTCCTCAGTGTTGTGCACCCCTCAATGCTGTCGAATTTCAGAACGTTGCCATCACCCCCAGTACAAACCCCCTACCCCTGAAGCCATCACCTGTCCTATCCCCGTCCTCCCAGCTTCCTGGCAACCAGTAATTTGAAAACTCATCTTTTTTTTTTCTTTTGAGAAAAGTATCTTTCTCTCCTGTTAGCAAAGTACCTGGAAGACTCAGAATATGAAAAATTTAAATGAAAACATCAGAGGTGGGTTGAACTATGTGGTTCTGTATTTTGCTGTGACCTCTTAGCTGAAGAAAAACTGATGAAATCAAAGGGATGGCGTATTTAACATGGCTTTATGGTAACTTCCGGAGAATAAAACCTGGAAGGAATGAAACCTGCTGTCCTGTCTGTGACCCCACTGGGAGCCAGTTAAGCGGGTG